CAAGCAATTCTCCTGCCTCAGCCTCCCGAGTAGCTGGGATTACAGGCATGCACCACAGCCTGGCTAATTTTGCATTTTTAGTAGAGACAGAGTTTCTCCATGTTGGTCAGGCTGGTTTCTAACTCCCAAACTCAGGTGATCTGCCTGCCTTGGCCTTCCAAAGTGCTGGGATTACAGGCGTGAGCCACTGTGCCCGGTGTGAGGAGTTCTTTTAGATCATATTGTTTGACCAGCCAGTGAGAAAGCTTGTGTATTCTTCAAACATTTGGATAGTCATAAGCCCTCATGCAGTGGTATTCAAATTGTGGTCCTCAGTCTGACGTTGTCAATGACAGCATCACCTAGGAGCTCATTAAAATTCAAATTCCCAGGCCTTATGCCAGACTTAGAGAATCTGCGTCTCCATGGGTGTGTCCTGGAATCTGTATCTTAGGAAGTTCTCCTGGTGATCCTTATGCCTACCAAAGTTTGGGAAACTCAGTTCTTGTTTTTTGTTTTCCAAAGTTGGCCCGGCAAATAGAGCAAGAAAGATTTACTTTGGGTGTTCCCTCTGTCCTCCTTTCAGAAGCCCCTGTCAAGGTTATCTTTGTCCAGCCGCCAGCTCCCCATCTGCTCCTTCCTTGTACTGACTCGCCATGGTGGCATTCATTTAACAAATGTGAAGTTTGACAGTCCTTAGCACCTTGGGAGGCCAAGGCGGGCAGATCACCTGAGGTCAGGAGTTCAAGACCAGCCTGGCCAACATGGCGAAACCCCATCTCTACTAAAGCTGTGATACTATGTTAATTATAATACTTTTTTGTGGATGTATGTTATTTGGACAACAAAGGCCACAAAGAGAAAAGTTTTTTTTTAATTTTTATTTTTTATTTCTATTGAGCTCTGCTTCCACTAAATTCTGAAACACTCAGGCAGCCAATACAAGCCAGCACAGTACCCATGCTTTGAATGGTGGAACCCGGTGCTTTGGATGGTGCACTCAGTATAGGCCATTCCATTTGGAGACCTGTTGGAGACAACATGAGGGGGATCTGGAGTCAATTAAGGAAGCCTTTGGAATTGGTGATTTCCCCTGCCAGCATGACTTTGGAGCCAAGTGGAAAATCAACTATGCTTTATTGGCTTCTTAAAAATGTCTGAACACCTTTGTGAAACAGGCTTCTCTGAGACCAGGGCTACTTCCTTTCCCAGTATCTTTCTTTTTATTGAGACAGAGTCTTGTACTGTCACCAGGTTGGAGTGCAGTGGCATGATCTCGGCTCACTGCAACATCCAACATCTGCTTCCTGGGTTTAAGCAATTCTCTTGCCTCAGCTTCCTGAGTAGCTGGGATTACAGGTGCTCACCACCACGCCCAGCTAATTTTTGTATTTTTAGTAGAAATGGTGTTTCACCATGTTGACCAGTCTGGTCTCAAATTCCTGACCTCAGGTCATCCACCCGCCTTGGCCCCTAAGGTGCTGGGAATACAAGTGTGAGCCACCACACCCAACCCTACTACTCCCTTTTCCTGTTGGAACCTCTCTTCCTCGCTCCTCCTATTGGGGATGTTCTTGATGATGTCACACCTGTATCAAGAAAAGGGACAAGAGTAGAGGGACATGCACCTCTGAGTGACCAGGGTCATTAGGCAGCTTGGGCCAGAGCTACCAGCTGATGGCAGCAGCTAAATTGGTGAGAAGTGAGGGGCTAGACCCTTCACATGGTGGCAGGAGGCACTGTGTGAAGAACAGCAGAGAGAACATTCCAAGAGCAGCCACGTACGTTGCAAGAAGATGTGGCTGCCGAGCATCCCTGCTGGGGTGGAGACAGCCAGGACTGTCCACAGCTGCCTTTCCTGAGGGTCCACACCAAAGCCAAGGTTTCCAGGATGGCTGTCCCTCAGAATCCTGAGGTTTTTACCATCTACGGTTTGGACATCTTTAGCACAGGAAGCACCCTGAAAGTGTGGTCCCTACCCTTCCCAAATAATTAGAGTGAAGGAAAGCTGAGAATTTCCAAATTCATCCATTTACTCATTCATTCATTCAGTGGAATTGTAGCCCAAGTCCATAGAATGAATGAGGAAATGGATGAACTGGGAAATTGTAGGTGCTGCAGTGAATCCGAAAGTGCATAAAGGACAGTCCCAGTCTTCAAGGAACTGGCAGGCTACAGGGGGAACAGATGTAAAAAGAAATAATTTAGGGATAGTATGAAAGGGCCATAGCGTGTGTTTCAGAGCCTATAGAGGTGGAAGGCTTCTCTGGTGGTATTTTACTTGTTCTTTCTTAGGTAAATAAAGCAGAGGCCAAGGGAACAGGATGAACAACAACAATGGTAAACATTTCTGTAGTGCTAAGTATGCGCGTGGCCCTTTTAGCCTGTAAGCTCCTTTAATCCTCATAACCACCCTCTGAGATGGGTACTGCCGTTGTCTCCATTTTATAGATGAGAAATGTGACAGTCAGTGAGGTGAAGGAGCCTGTCCAAGCTCACTCAGCTAGTAAACGTCAGACCGGTTCCAGAGCTCAGGCTGTAAGCCACTGCTCAGCGTGGCTCTTGTGATCTCTACCCTCTTCCTGAGAGTAAATTTTAGAGCCAGGTTATCATTCAAGAAAAGCAAAGCAATAATCATTCTTCTACTTCCAAATTGCTACCAATGAACAATTTATTTTGTGCCTATGGTAGATTAAAGATCTGAATAAAAATATAAAAACATGAATTGATTAGGTAATGGTCTTTCATAATGTGCTAATAGGGTCTGTCTGGGAAACTTTGAGAATTTTATGTGGAGAACAATGGTTCTGAATTTTTTTTAGAAAGAGCGACCGATTTGTCCCACCCCTTCCCACTTTCCGTTGGAAAAGAATCTCTGATAAAGCTTTGACAAGCAACCAACGTAAACAAATTGTGCTGCACGCCTTACACACGATTTTATATTATCAAACAATGCCCTATAATGTAAAAACTGTACATTTTAATGCCTACCCTGGTGGTAGATGCACACTATTTATGCAGAGCACATTTAATAGGCAGCATATACCAATGATGCATAACTTTATACATATTGGGGTGTGGGAGTGGTTCTTGTCTATAATCACTGTAAGAGTATAGTAAGGAATAATTCTATGTGAACAAACTCAAGTCTTTAAGCCTAATTATTAAAAAATTACAGGTCAAGTACCATAAATTTATTTATATGCTGTAAGAGTAATCAAACAGATCTCCACAAACAGTGATTTTTTAATGAAATGATTTATAATGAAAAGGCAAGAATAACACCAATAAAAACCACGGTCACCTAAACCCACACTGATGATGTGTTGTCAACACAGGGTCTATCCTGGAAGTGAAGGAATTCCAGGTTGATTAAACTTGCTCCTGGCCATGGAGCAGGGTGTCTACAGCACCAAATGACCCCTGGACTTCTCTATAGATTGGTGAATCAGGACCATGAGTGAAGTCTAATGCACACTGATGTTGTTTAAACAATACTAAGTGTTGGTAATTTTTAAAGACTCATCTTATAGGTTTATAATAAAATGCCCTTAATACCACATACAAATAAGAGTCTACAGAATTGTGCATCCTTTGCTCATAAGAGCTTCAGGGAGTCTGCTACAAGCATGCATTCCCTGGCTCTCAGTCATTAGAAGAGTTCTTTCCTTTCACCTTGCTTACCCTGCCTGATGAGATCAAATGCAATTCTGGACAGAGGTGATGCCAGGGAGCCAAAGAGCCCAAAGGTTTTTATTCTGTGTTAGCTGGCTTTATAGCCATTGCTCCTGCTCTTCCTTCGGTGACTTACTGTTGCTGGGAAGAATTGGTCATGTGCCCTGCATCCTCACTGTGGTCCCCTCCAGTGACCACTGACCTCTCCATTGGCACGCTCACTGGTCCTCAGCCATGATGTAGAGGGTCAGCAGCTGCTGCCATCAGCCCTCTAGAGACCATGGAAGTGGAAGCTGAATCAAAGTTATCCTCTCACTCCTTCCTCTCCTTGCCCTTCCTTTCAGGGAATTTCAACATGCTTTTTTCTTGAACTGTTTTCATTTCCCATCTCAAAGCAGTAATTGCTGCCTCCATACCACTGACCTGAAACAAAAGCATTTTATTCCACTGTGCTTTGTAGTAGTATACTTGCAAATGTGGGGTGTATGTTTGTTTTTTTTTTTTTGAGGCAGAGTCTCGTTCTATCACCCAGGCTGGAGTGTAGTGGTATGATCACAGCTCACTGCAGCCTTGACCTACCTGGCTCAAGTGATCCTCCCATCTCAGCCTTCCTGAGTAGCTGACACTACGGCGTGCACCACCACACCTAGCTAATTGTTTAATTTTTTGTATAGACGAGGTCTCACTATGTTGCCCAAGCTAGTCTCCAACTCCTGGATTCAAGCAATCCTCCTGCCTCAGCCTCCCAAAGTGTTGGGATTATGGGCATCGGCCACCATACCCACCTAGAGGCACATTATTTTTATAACATTTGGAGATTATTGTTGAAGATGATTGGGAGTCATTAAAGAGTTTTTAAGAACAGGCATAACAATCTTTTTAAAACAACACTTTAATATAGTGTGGATATTAGGTGGTCTTAGGAAGTTTCTCAATGAAATTGTAGTTGCATAGAAAAATGTTCTTAATTTTTAGATGCTCATACTGTCATATGGTTGGGTAAAATGTTATTTACTTTAAAATCATTTGATGAAAAATATATGGGAAAATATGGCAAAATGTTCATAACTGTGAAATCTAAATGAGGCTACATGGTCATTCACTGCACAGTTCACTCAGTTTTTTAATTTTTTTAATCATAGAAAACGATATAGAAATAAATCCCTCCAGCTGTTCTTTGGGTGTTGGTCCGGAGGGAACTAGGGAGCCAAGTTAGTGAGGAGGTGAAGGCAGCGATTCAGGCAACGCTGGTGAGGGGTGGAGCTAAAACAGCACCACTGCAGAGGGAGAGGAGGGTGTGGACTAAAAAGTATCATCTTGTCTGTTGTCTTCCCTCACTCCCACAGTCCAAAGTGCTTCGGGAGAAATGGCTGCTGCAGGGTATACCCGCGGGAACTACCGAAGAGGAGGAAGCCAGGAGGCGGCAGTCTGAAGAGGATGAGTTCAGAGTCAAGCAACTTGAAGACAACATCCAGAGGTAGGTGGATTCCAGCCCAGGGAACCCCTGCTGTGGTTTTATGGTGTAGTAACCACTGCTCTCCTCTAGGTGGCCTTTCTCAATACTGTTACCTTCGGTACTTGAGGATTTTCTTCCTAAACAAAGCACACTGAGGTTATTTAAAATTTTCCAGATGACCTAGAGTTATGACACAAAGTACTAATTATTTTTTTGTTTTTATTTTTAACTCTTAAGTTTGGGGGTACAAATACAGGTTTGTTATATAGGTAAACTTGTGTCATGGGGATTTGTTGGACAGATTATTTCACCACCCAGGTATTAGGCCTAGTAGCCCTTAGCTATTTTTCCTGATTCTCTCCCTCTTCCCTCCCTTCTCCCTCCGACAGGCCCCAGTGCATGTTGTTCCCTTCTGTGTGTCCGTGTGTTCCCATCATTAGTTTCCACTTATAAGTGAGAACATGCAATATTTGGTTTTCTGTTCCAGTACTAGTTTGCTAAGGATAATGGCCCCTACCTGTATCCATGTCCCTGCAAAGGACATGATCTCATCCTTTTCTGTGGCTGCAAAGAGTACTAATTATTGCATTGGGCTGTAATACAGCACCGTGATGGCTTCATGGGCCTGTGAGGCGTTGTGAGCAGCTTGCCCCTTCAGTAAGTGCTCCCTTTTGAGTTCTCATATTAGTTTTCATCTTTTTCCTCCTTCAGGTCAGGCTGTTAGCTGTTATTGCTGCTGTAGTGGGTCTGTTTTCAAATTTGCTATATTCAGTCAATTTGAAATGGGAAAACTGTAGTCAACAGTCTTGGGATTGAAATGAAAAGTGCAGAAGTGCTGAATGAGAGCACCTCGGTAGGTTATGTGCCTGTGCTCTAAACATACACTTTGTGTTGTCTGCTTTCACTGCTCGGAGAGTGGTTTCTTTATGGTACTCAACCAGGATCTGATCATTTCAATCTGGGAGATAAGCAACCTGTCTGTGGCCAATGGCTGGCCAGGCTCACACAGGAACAATAATGTAGGTTTCTTCTTGGGAGCTCTAGCTACCCCAGGTCCCAGGACGCCTAGCCAGAGAGATATGAGATAGGGATGGAAGGTGGTAAGCGTAGACGCCTTAGAACCAAATGTATCCCTCCAGCTCATCCCACCAAATTCTGCCTGAAATCTCACTGTCTGGAGCTTCATCTCTGTCTCCTGAGCTTATGAGCTCTTTTAAAATACAAAGGGTAATAGCTAAAGTGCTACCAGCCATCTATACCTAACAGCAAATGAAGACTCTGAGGGCACCTGTCATAGTGTCACTAAAGGGAAAAGCAAACCGAGTAAATCCCAAAGGCATACTTCAGCCTATGTCCCAACTTTGCTTAGGTCCTCATGCGTCTTAAAGCGCTTTCGGAACAGCTTGGCTAAATAAACATTGCTTGTGAAGGAAATTGGCTGAGAAAAAATTTGGAGGGTTTGTGTATACATATACATATATATACTCACACACACCCGTGTATATGCACACATGCACATGCTTTTTCTTAGAATACAAAGGATAAAGGCTAAACTGTTACCAACCATTTATATCATATACATGTATATCATATGCATATACATAGAGAGAGAGTAGGTGTTATTATAGACAGAAGGCAGAAAGGATTTGGAAAATAGGATAAAATTAGTTACATGACCTTATCTATTTTTCTTTCCGTTTCTTTTTTTTTTTTTTTTTAAGAGATGAGGTCTCACTCTGCTGTCCATGCTGGACTGCAGTAGTACAATCATAACTCACTGCAGCCTCAAACTCCTGGGCTTAAGCTATCCTCCTGCCTCAGCCTCTCAGGTAGCTGAGAACATAAGCCTATGCCACTGTGCCTGGCAATTTTTTTTTTAATTTTTGGTAGAGACAGGGTCTCACTATGTTGCTTAGGCTGGTCTTGAACTCCTGGCTTCAAGTGTTCCATCCTTCTTGGCCTCCCAAAGTGTTGGGGTTACAAGTGTGAACCACCGTGTTTGTCCTTTTCTGTTTTTCTTAAATCGCATTGGGAAACGTGGTTTTCCAATCAAATTGGCAGTTTAACCTTGGCTTGACTGCAAATATATTGTTATTATGGTCTAATAGGTGATAACTCACACTTGCAGAATAAGCCATTGCACGTGGAGGCTAGAGTCTTAAATCGAGACTCAGTTTTTGGCTAAATTGACCATTGGAATGAGGTGTTGAGAGTTAGAGGCTGGTTTATTGTTCAGCTGGCCATGATCATACTCAGAAAAAAAATTTTAAAGTTCTTTTTATCCTCTAAGTCAAAGGAATAAAGAGCTCAATCAATGTTTGTAGGCAGTCTCGCCCATTTAGAGCTATAAAGTTCTGTTTATCCTTTAAGTCAACAGAATAAAGGGCTCACTCAATGTATGCAGGCAGTCTTGCCCATTTAGAGCTAGAATCCCAAGCCAGACGAAGGAAATCGCAATAGCCTCAAGGGGTAGGTGGTGAGGCCTGGAATCAGAGGCCATTTCTTCTGTCCTAGTCATGACTTTGGGCCAAACGGGCACTGGACATGTGCTGCGTTTGGAGCTTCTTTCCGTAGGAGCAGGACTATGGTAAGCATCGTTTCCTCTGCAGGGCCTCCTGAGGGGCAGTTTCTTCCTACCCTGGAATTCAGTTTCTGCTTCCCCTCATCTCACTGGCATCTTCTCTACCACAATGTTTATTAATGTCTTTAATCTTCAATCCCATGGGAAGAAAGAGCTGTTATCTCTCTTCCCATAAAGGACACTCAGTCACCTAGACATTTCCCTGTAGTCGAACACAGTTTACTTCTCATTCACAGAATGACATTTGAATAGTTCTAAAGGCTCATTGCAAACATGAGCACCCTACAGTGTTACAAAGTCCCTGTGGATTGACCGGCATGGCTCTGATGATAGGGCTGAGCTCACCTAAGTGATTCTAAGCTGCATATTGCCTAAGTCCACTCTTGTTTACCCTGCGCTAACAGGCTAATCATGACGCTGTCTCTTCCTGGCAATGGGAGAGGTACAAGAGGGCTGAGCAGAAACAAGGCCTAGGCTCGCAGAACTACCCACAAGCCATCTGCCAAACCAAGTCAATGACCAAGCCCAGCACCAAGGGAGGAGACCAGCCAACTTTTAGTGGAAGGAACACACATTAGGGAAGGGTGAAGAATGGGGACGAATAATTCAGTCTTCCAGGAACATGATTGTTGAATTGAAAATTGCAAGCATTCAGGAAAATGGACTGGAATTAGGGAAACTACAGAAAGCCATTTTAAAAGAAACAGGACTGGCCAGGCATGGTAGCTTACATCTGTAATCCCAGCGCTTTGGGAGGCAGAGGCAGGTGGATCACCTGAGGTCAGGAGTTCAAGACCAGCCTGGTCAACATGGCAAAACCCCATCTCTACTAAAAAAATACAAAAATTAGACTGGCTTAGTGACAGACACCTGTAATTCCAGCTACTCAGGAGGTTGAGGCGCGAGAATTGCTTGAACCTGGGAGGCGGAGGTTGCTGTGAGCCAAGATCATGCCATTGCACTCCAGCCTGGGCAACAGAGTGAGACTACATCTCAAAAAATCAAAATTAAAATAAAGAGGACTAACTAAAACAATGCAAGAATGCAGAGAGAAAGGAAGAAGAGAGTAAGAGAGAATATGAGTGACTTCAAGATCAAATTTATGATCTGATTTTTATATAACAGGAATATTGAAAACTGTAAGATCAGATGCAGAACCATTAAATAAAGGAATTTTAAGGGAAAGCTTCTTTACTCAAAGCAAAATATTAATCTGTAGATCTTTAGATTTGGGCCCACTAGTCTAAGTCACCCCCAGCAATCAATTAGATTCTCCTAAGGAGATACATGAACTGTTGGCAAACTATAAAGTATATTAGTACAGTTGTACCCTGAATGCATTTTCATCCTTGTTGTTGAACTAAGAATAGCTTGAAGACACTGAAGGAGGAATAGAGACTAGTAACCAAAGTACAAGGAAGATTTCTACCAAGAAAGATGAAGGGAAATTGGGTCATTTAGTTTAGAAAATGAAAAGATAATGGCACCGTAACTTAGAACTTCAAGTGTATGTAGGATTAGGCCATGTCTTAATTCTTTATGTGTAGGCCATTTTGAATTTGACAAAGACTTCAAATAAAGCATGCGAATTAGACATATGTCTATTTCCCTAGGTACCTCCTAGAAGAAAGAACATTATCACCTTGTAATTCTGATTCTATGATTCTTTATAGTGCCAATAACTGTACAAGAAGTTCCAGGTTTGCAGACATGTTTTCTTCCAAAATGTTATTTATAAATTGGTAGTGGTTTGGAAGGGCCAATGTTGTTTTTCTGCCAGAATTATTTTGTGTGGTGCTTAGCTTTTGAAGGCAGCCCACGAAGAAGGAAGGAAGGATGGAAAAATGTAACTAGCATATTAAACCCTGGGCATTAGAATCAGTTGGGAAGGTTTTTAAAAGTAAGAATTACCAAGCCTCATTCTAGGAAATTTGGATTTAGTGACCCAAGTAAGGAGCCCTGGAATCTGTGTTTTTTTAAAGGGTATTCCAGATAATTCTGTTGTATGGTCAGGTTCAAAATGATTGCTGTAAGTGGAAAAAAGGAAAGATCATAAATGAAATCCTACTTTAATACCTAGAAACCCCCCAAGGAGAGTGGGAAGTAAATCATATTTATAAGAAAATTGGCTTCACACACAAGGATGAAGGACAACCCTGGCTCTTGATTTCAGACTGCTTCTGAGGCTTCCTGCTTTGACTCAAGGAAATTTGAAACCTGCTTTGGAGATTCCTGCCGGTGAGAGTAGCTCTGGCTTAGAGATCAGGTGTCTACTCCATAGGCCCCACAGTGGAGCCAAGCTTTCATTTGAAGTTGATTAGAAACAGCCTTGGTTTACCAGGCTAAAGCTGATACAGGTCAGGAAAACTGCCAACTTTCCCAAAGGCCAGAAAATTCTACCCCTCTTCTAAGATTTCTGGCTAAAATTCAAAGTAATGTG